AACAAGTATACCTTAATGAAGACTCAAAACTAATATGAGTCGGGGACTACCCCAGTAGTCTCATTATCTCTAATTGGATGTTTTCTCTCACGAAGTAGCCAGTGTTAGCTTTTAGCTTGGTGAGGGAAAAGATCTCGTATTGTTCCCCAGTTTTCCCTCATTCCTGGGAACACTTGGCAGGATGGTGAATATCTCCAGCAGCCAAGCTGTCAAACAAGCTTTCCCTTTTCAGAAGAGATTTTTTCCCAACACTATCCAGGCCAGTTTTGATTCTGTCTCCCACTCAACACCTCCCACTCCTGAGGCAGAGCTGGTCCCAAGAAGCCCTCTGGCAGACTGAAAGCCCTGACTGCTTTCTGCCTGGGTGACTTCCTGTCTCCAGGGCTCTGTGCCTACATTTACACCAGCAGAAATCAGCACAACTCAGGTTTAATATAGCTCAAAGCAGACATAATTTTGTGCTGGAACAGTCTGGAATGGCTTACCAAACTATGGTTTTGGCCGTATGTACCAATGTTTCACACTCCTCCTACAAAAAATAAGCTTTGGCTCACAATGCTATCTATTTTTACCCTATATTTAGCCTGTTTTAGAATTACACTGGCTAAGCAAAACCACTTTTTTTCTTCTCCCATCTCATCAGTCTACAATCTCTATCCAACAGAAGTGAGCAGGGAAGTAAAGATTTCTTTTAAAATAGCAATAAGAAATTGACGATTTAACAGAGGCATTAAAGATATTAATGATGTAAACAGCTTGACAAATAAGGGATGATTATTTTCTTCTCCACAGGCCAAAGTACAGCGGTGGCGTCCTCCCAAACAATGCTCAAGAAGTTTAATTTCTATTTTAGGTGATATTTGACAGAAAGGATTTTATTTTTACATTATCTAGGGGAAGTGGATATGAGGGTTTGTTCTGTCCTTGCTCTCTTTGATTGCCCTGCTGCCTTTTTATTGTACTGTTTTATTACATACGGTCAGACACCTGAGAGCCCTCAGGAGTTCTGTGTCTAATATCATCAGTATTTTCCACTTTTATTTTAAGGTGTGGTACACCAAACACCACTTGAACAATTGATGCTTAGTGTCTGTAACGTATAAATAAGAAAACTGCTGAAAAGCACTGTGACCTGGAAAAGCTGCAGACTGAAATTGAAGCGTATATCTGCTTTGGGTTCTTCTGCAGCTCTCTAAAGTCCAGCTTCTAAATTACAGTGACCCTCTAGTTCATGTACAGTGAGGTAATAACAGCAGAGGTTAAGAAATACCAGCAGTATCCTGGAAGAAAAATCTTTGCATCAGAGGAATGATAGGCTGAAATTTCACTTGAATGTGCATAAGGGATGCATCCCTCTTTCCTTCCCCTGGCCACATCTGCCCTTGTGTCTAGTGAGCAAGCAATGGCTACAGTGAAGCCAATTACTTCAGCAAGCTCATCTGACACAAGGCAAGTGAACCAGCAAAAATGAAACTTTTCTGTTGGATTTGTTTGCTCACCTGATTCATTGTGTGCTCTCAGTTATGTAAAGAGGAATGAGATAGAGTGCATGGCCAAGGAGAGATGGGGAGACTGCACTTTTCAGCATTAGCTCACAGCCATACCAAATTGCTTGAAACACAAAATCATGCACTGAGGGCATGGTTTCACTAGATGAAGTTGGGTGACATAATATTTACAGGAACATCTTCCTCCTGCTCCTGACTATGTGCCCAAGAGCAGGTTTCACTCTCTAACTCAGAAGAAAAAATATTCACCACGACCATCACCAAAATTAGTTTTTGGTCTTGTTATTGAGTTGAAGTAGCTCGTGAAAGCATACAACAAACACCGAAGAGGATCTAAGGGAGGGTGAAAATCTATGTATGAGAGATGAGTGAGCAACACTGCTGCTTCTCAGAGCTGGTGAATGATGAGATCAGCTCAGCTGGTCTTGGGTCAGCCTGCTCTAGTGGTTGGCAACCCTGCACATAGCATGGGGGTTGAAAATAGATGATCATTGTGGTCCTTTTCAACCCAGGCCATTCTGTGATTCTATGATTCTATCAAAGTCATTTTGCTCTGCAGATCATCATTTCCCATTCTGGAAAAGAGAAGACTCAACTAAACAGGATATAAAAAAAGCTTTGCTTGTGTTAACAGCTTGTTAATAATACGCACAATATACCATTGAAAAGACTATCTGAAATCAAAGAGCTCTGAAATGTCTAATAAACTCACTGTGCATGGAAAGCTATCTTCATGGCCACACAATTAAAATCTTCTCAGACTACTGAGGAAAAATAGGGAACGATGCTTAGCTATTCGGGAAATGCATCAGGCTTTAAAGGAGCAGATCTGGCTCAATACCAACACAACTATGAAAAAAAGTTTACTCAGGGGAAAGAAATCCAAAAGCTCTGAAGAACTGAGGAAACAGAGGAATCTACACTGGGGAAACAGATGCTCTGTTGTTTCGTGTGGCTGTTTCAGAAGTCTATTCAGCAAATCGTCCACTTAGTGTTAAACAAGTGGGCCATGGGGCAAGTTTAGGGTGCAAGCCCATTTAACCCAGCTTTCCCCTTTGTCCAGAAGGAGATGACCCCTTTGCCATAGTCTGAATGACTCTCTCTGTTTTAACACAGGCAGGCATTTCTCAATGCCTCTGGCCTCAGCCCGTCCTCCCACGTAGAGACAGGATCTCAAGTTCAGCCTTTGCCTGGGAACCTGCAAGGAGAGGGAAAGGATCAGACACCAGAAAAAAAGCAAGATGAACGTGCTGCCTAGAGGAGGGTCAGCAGCATGGGAAGCGAGGGGGGGAGGGTGGCTGCTCCAGAGAAAGCCTGGTGGCACTGGCCTGGCTCATAGATGTACTGTTATCAAAAGGGATGAAGGTAACTGGCTCCTGGATGCAAGGAGGGAAAGATAGCTTGCAGGAACCTCCTATGCCCTTGGCCTGTCAAGTTTGGGCATCCAATTAATGCTATAAGTTTTAACTCTAGCATCATGGCCCTGAAATGTGTTAGAAATACATCAGGTCTAAATAATTCAGATGTCAAAATGAATGTGAGGAAGAAAATGATTTAGCAGAAGGATTGCTTTATTTTCTGAAGTTGCTGTTTTCTTTCTGTTCATGCACCCATACTGACACTCTAACAAATCAGTGAAGTGGATGCACAACCAGACAGCATTGCTGATTACATCTTTCCCTGAACAAAAACAGTGAAATACTAGGGAACAAAAAAAGAGCAAGAAAAAGTTATTTAGAGAGTAGAACTATTTGATGAGATTTTATCTGCTATGTAGCTTAAAGAGAATTCCCAAACTATCTGCAATCAGGACTCTGAGGGTTGTTGTACATTGCAAATGAATTTTAAATAACTCTTGTTGGCAGTTATCTTCATCTCAGGGTTGCCAAATCTCACTACTTCATCATGAATCTCATAACGCTGAATTGTTTATTTAAACCACAATTCAAAGAATCATTGATTAATGAGTTTCTCGCCTTTCATTTTTTTAATAAGTGTAAATTTTTCAGGGACATGCTTATTACAGAAGGTAAAAAGATAATCAGCGTAAGTACCAGAACAGCCAGAGACGTTATCATTCATCTGAAGCTTTCTCTAATGAAGAGAGAAGTGAATCACAGCTTGCTGGCAGGTTCTGCAGCTGTCTGCCGGCAAGAGAAGAATGTGGAGGCTGAGGACACCCTGCCTTCTGCCTAAGTCCTCACCCCAGCCATAAACCCCGACCCTAGATTTGTTTTCACTCCTCATCTGCCTCCACCTTCTGTCCTGATCTCTTCATATTACCAAAAGTTTCATGAATGTAAAAAATTCCACTGGCTTCACTCTGGCTTCCTTTGTGACCCCACCCGGAGCCAGAGGCCTGTTTACAGAACCACCCAAATTACAGCAACACTTAAAAAAACCCAAAAACATAACCCAAAATCTCAGTATTTTTTAATTTTAGCTCAACTGCTGGCAGGACAAAGGGCGGGACTTGCATGTTAGCTGCCCCATCATCACAGGCAGACCTCTGTAATGAAGCAGAGCTGCTGTCAGCTGCCACCGGCAAGCCTGCATGCCTTGCCTTGGCACATTGGGCTGCTCATGTTTCCTTGACAGCTATGAGGTCCTGGTGCTTGCGGGACACGAAGGTGAGAGGTGATCCTGGCTCCCTACCACTAACAGGTTGGACTGCTGTCACATTTTCAGCTTCGCTCTTAACTTTCTTCAGCCACTTTCGTGGCTGATAAGTGATAATAAATCACTTACCTGATAAAGCCACCTCAAGGATTTTCAGGCATCAGCACCCTCAGACACTGAGTACAAACTGATGTGATTCAGTCATATGCCCTTTCTTCATCATTCGTTTTCTAGATCGTTAGAGTAGGTCTGAATCCCATTTAGAGGTTCTTTTAAGGAAATCCAGGAATACGAAATGCATTCAAAACCAGCAATGAGCTGATTGCAGTGATGTGGGGATTGGCTTCCTCTCCCAGCGATGAGAGGGAATGTTGCAGCAGAGGAGGCTCAGGGTGGGTGTTAGAAAACGTTTCTGCTCAGAACGACTGGTGAGGCATTGGAACAGGCTGCCCAGGGAGGTATGCAGGCATCGTCCCTGGAGGTGCTCAAGAACCGTGCGGATGTGGCACTGAGGGACGTGGTCAGCGGGCACGGTGGCATGGGCTGATGGTTGGACTGGATGAACTTAACAAGACTCCAACTGTAACGATTCTACGGTTCTAAGCACAGTTCCGCGTGTAACGAACCAGCTCCAGGAGAGGGCGTTCACAAGCCCACATCCAGCCCCACCGGGCCGAAACGGAACCTCCATGCACCCACACCGCGGCTCCCGCGCCCCACCCTCAGGGCGGCCGTTACCCCTCCGCCGCTTCCCGCCTCCTGCCTGGCGGATCGCAGCACGCATGCGCTCTCGGTCGCTGCCCCTCGGCCGCTGGAGGCGCTGTCTGCCGCCCGTGCGGGGCTGGATGAGGCGGGGGCGGGTCCGCGAGCGTGATGGCGGCTGCGGCAGCGGCGGCCGGGGGAGGTGGGGAGCGGAGCAGCACCCGGGAACGGCTGCTGGCGGCGCTGGAGGATCTCGAACTCCTGGCCAGGTAGTCGATGGGATGGGCGCCGCTCGGTACCGAGCCGCCGGCGGGGACGGCGAGCGAGGGCTCGGGGATTGGGGCCGAGAGGAGAACGGCGGCCTGGGGCCGAGCGCGCGCGTGGGGTGCAGCCGCCCGCAGGCTGAGGGTGGGGAGCCCGGCTGCAGTGGGGGGCTGCGAGAGCTGCGGCGGTGCTTCTTGTGCTCGGAGCTTTGTTCCTCGCTGCCCGCTGTGCCGGCTGCTATCTGTGCTGTCTGTCTCCCGAACGGCTCGTGGGCCTCGTATTACTCACTGCCAACCTGCCGTGTGGCTCACTGACTGTCACAGGTAGGGCACAGCAAACAAGTGCAGCTGTTGCTCTTCTCGTGTCCGTTTAGATTTTAGGTGGTTTCTTTTTTTTTTTTTTCTTCTTATTTTTCCTTTTCATTTTGGATCTAATAGTCTACCATTAGAGGTAACGGCCTCAAGTTGTTCCAGGGGAGGTTCAGATTGAATATTAGGAAGAATTTCTTCCCAGAAACAGTGGTGATGCATTGGAACAGGCTGCCCAGGGAGGTGGTGGAGTCACCCATCCCTGCAGTTGTTCAAGAACTGTGTGGATGTGACACTGAGAGACATGGATAGTGGGCATGGTGGGAATGGGCTGATGGTTGGACTGGATATACTTACAGGTCTTTTGCAGCCTCAATGATTCCTGGACCAGGACCTGGTGTCCTGATGGATGACAGGTTGGCCATGAGCCAGCAGTGTGCCCTTGTGACCAAAAAGGCCAGTGGCATTCTGGGGTGCATTAAAAAGAGTGTGGCCAGCAGGTCAAAGGAGGTGATCCTCCCCCTCTACTCTGCCCTGGTAAGACCTCATCTGGAGTACTGCGTCCAGTTCTGGACTCCCCAGCACAAAAAAGACAGGGATCTCTTGGAAAGAGTCCAGCAGAGGGCCACGAAGATGGTGAGGGGCCTGGAGCATCTCTCCTATGGAGAAAGGCTGAGTGAACTGGGTCTGTTTGGCCTTGAGAAAAGAAGACTGAGAGGGGACCTGATCCAGGTCTACAAATATCTAAGGTGTGGGGGGTAGAGTGGTGAGGCCAGACTGTTTTCAGCAGTGTGTGGAGACAGGACAAGGGGAAACGGCTGGAAACTGCAGCATAGGAAGTTCCACACAAATGTGTGTAAGAACTTCTTTACAGTGAGGGTGACGGAGCACTGGAACAGGCTGCCCAGGGAGGTGGTGGAGTCTCCTTCTCTGGAGATGTTCAAGACCCGCCTGGACACCTGCTTGTGCGACCTGGTGTAGGGAACCTGCTTTGGCAGGGGGGTTGGACACGATGATCTCTGGAGGTCCCTTCCAACCCCTACGATTCTGTGATTATACAATAGTGAACCCAAAGCACGTCAGCAATATGTCAGTGATCAGCAGTACCATGGAGCTGGGCCTTTCATGACCAATGTAACTGGCTTGGGTGGTAGGGGACGCATGGTCTGTAACATGTCTAACCTGTGTCCCTTGTGCTAACACAGGGCCAAATTACAGCTCTCCCCAACATCAGTCTCAGTGATGTTAGCTGACCTACTTACAGCAGATAGTTTGCTAGTGATCAGTGTTGGTCAGGTATGGCAATATTTCAGTAATAGCAAGTTTCAGTATTCACTAATAGCTTTGAATTATTTTAGTCACAGAAAATGTTATTAAGGTTGGAAAAAACTCTAGGATTGACATGCGAAATCAAACTCTGTAACCAAAGTAAGATTGCAAAGCAGGTACGATTTACTCAGTGCTGCACAGACACCGGGTGCAGGGGGGATAGATCCACCTAACTTGCACACCATCAAGAAAAATTGTGCTACAGATATAGGCCAAACTAAGACATAATCAGTACTTTTCCTGGAATTCGGATACATATTCATTATACTCCCGAGAGTTCATTAGCATGCAGACCCTCCCCTCTTGTGCGTGCATAGTAGGTAGTGGGATGAAGATTTGTTGTCAGAAACCTCCGCAAGGAATGCCTTTCTCGCTGCCTTTCTCGAATGCCTTTAAACTGCTGGCCTTTGGGGGGGGCATCCCCCCAAGCTTGTTTCTTCTTGCCCTGTGGACATCTAATCACCTCCCTGCCAAATGTCCTCGGGCTGTTCTCAAACGTTATGGGTATGGCCTTCATCCCCCTCGCTATCTCAGACCCGGTGTCTGCCATCCCTTATTTTCTAACAAGCTCTACATTCTTGCTTCCGTAAACTATAATTATTCCCCTTCACCCCCTTTATTCTCAGTCACTGTGAAGCCTTCTTGCCTTTTACTTGCACTTATGGGGCTCTTCTCACCATTCAGGATCATCTAGTCCAACCATCACCCCATCCCTACCATACCCACTAACCACGTCGCTCAGTGCCACAGCTGTATGTTTCTTGAGCACCTTCAGGGATGGTGACTTCATTGCTCCCATGTTTCAAGATGCTGTTTATAGCTTTACTGATCAGGGGCTTTTTCAAGCTTTTAGAAAAGAACCTGTTGTTTTAAGGTTCTGGCTCCACTACTGTATTAGTGGACATCTCTCTTGAGCTGCTTGCACCAGACTAAAGAGCGTGCCAGTACCATTCCAAGGACCCTACTTTGGATAAGTGGTTACTCATGTGCAGCACTGAACTTATGTTAATAGCCTGAAAAACCAAACGTGTTTGCCAGATGTATAGGAAAAAAAATGTATGGCCTTTTTGCAGCACGGTCTTATTTAGGGAGTTTCATTTGAGGTTCCTGATGGCTCTACATGATGGTGGAAAAGTAAATGTGTACTTGGAAGCAAGATCAAGAGGTTTGTTTGAGAAGCTCTTCTAACCTACCCCCAGAATATTAGTTTTTCAGTATTCATGTGTGTTCAGTGCACAGCTGATACACCATTGTGAAAATACTTGCTTTTATAGAAGTGGTCTTACAACAAACTCCAGGTATGTGAACACATAGACTTAATTGCTGTAAACTGAGTGTGAAATTTGCTCTGTAGTAAATAAAAAGAAAAATAAAAAAAAATATGGAGCAATAGAGAACAAAAATAATGTAGTCAATTCGACTTTCATCCTCTCGTGGAACAAAGGTGGTTAGAAACAGGATACAAATGCATTTAATTGTGCTGTTTGCTCTCAGTTTCAGCTTGTGCCTAATGGAGTTGGACAAGAACTTAGCTCTTTTTAAGTACAAATACACATGAGCACTTCATGAGCTCAAAGAACTAAAATGAAATCATGCTGCAGTCATGAAACTATTTACAGAATTGTAGTTGTGAAATCCCTGTCAACACTATTACATAAAACTGTAAAATACTCGAGTACATGAATGCTTTAATGATATAAATACTCAGTTGGGGAAGATTTGATGTGATTTACAAATAATAGCTTAGAAAGTTGCATAAATAGTGTTTTCCTTTCAGGGAACTAATTGAAATTTTGGCAATTTCAAGAAACCAGAAGCTTCCACAACCAGGAGAAGAGAGCCAGGTAAACTGACTTTCTTAGTTGTCATTCTTTGTGCAGATAAACACTATGTCTTCTTATTTTCTCCCTTTGTACTTGGACTAATGATGATGGTGAAGCTTTGGCATCAATGAAAAAGCATTCTTGGTTTCATGTTTTTGATTGCTTGTTCATTGGTTTCTTGCTTCATAGGCTGTTTCTGCAAGCTGAGCAAGAATTAATACTCTTGTGGGTGTCAGTTGCTTTTTGCAGTGTGATGCTACTTGCAGTGTGTTGTTACTTGAGCTAATTAAAAGTTCTACAAAACTCTTGCCCAACAGATCCTGGAGCTGCTGATTCAGAGAGATGGAGAGTTTCAAGAGCTAATGAAGTTGGCAGTTGATCAGGGGAAAATCCATCACGAAATGCAGCTTTTAGAAAAGGTAGTAGAAAAGAGAGATAATGACATTCAGCAGCTGCAGAAGCAACTGAAAGAAGCAGAGCACATACTGGTGAGTTCATGAGGATGTCTTTGCTTCTGAGCATCTGCTAGCAGGGGGAACAGAAAGTCGTTTTGGAGAAAGCAGTTTTGTGTCAGAGAAGATTTAAATGTTTAAAACTTTGTGAGCTTTAGTGTTGGTTGATTTGTTGTCTTTTTTTTTTTTTTTTTCCCCCAGTAACACTACTTCTTTATTATGGTGTTCAGTTACTTTGTATTGATAATTTTCTTCAAAATCTACTTTGTTTCTGTTTATTTTAAGAGTCCCCTGAGCAGTTTCTCTCTTAAAATGCAGTTTCACGCAAGGGTTTCTTCACAGAGGACTTAAGACAGAAGGATACAAATGAAGGATGTACTGAAGTTTTGGCTTAGTGTTGTTTCTTTTCTTTCCACAATTAGGCCACAGCTGTTTATCAAGCAAAGGAAAAACTGAAATCAATTGAAAAGGCAAGGAAAGGTGAGTTATCCATGATTGTACGTAATATACAAACAGTTGTAAAGAATGTTGCAAGTGAACTCAAGTTAGTAATTGCTTCTTAAGGTTGTCATCACAGATTTCAGATGCTTTGTGTGTAAACAGATTTTGACTTAATTATGAATCTGTCAACCATTTCAACAGAAAAAAGATGGAGCATGTGGGGATTTTTCTTTTCTTTTTTTTTAGGAATAACTTTTTTTTCTTTTGTGGCAGACATGTCTTTAGTATTAGACTTGAATTCAAGTTCCTGGATGCTCTTCTTGGACCACAAACAGTCTATCTGGTTATCTAAATGTCTCACAAAAGCAGATCACTTCTATGTGACTACCTGGAAGAGTTTTTGTGTGCATGTATATTATAGCATTGTTTATAAAAGACTTTTTAGCTGGTGATACTTGTTTGTATTTGTATCAAATGCTGCTATGCTGTGGCAATTGCCAAGCTAAACTTGATTTTTTCATTTCTTTTATTTTTTGGTAGGTGGCATTTTTAAGTCGTTTATAGTATTTTTTTGCCATACTTCCTTCTAAACAAATCAAGGAATTTCATAATGATTCTAGTAACTCTAATACAGGTGTATTTATTGGAGGAAGGGCTACTACAGGTACCTGGTAGGTAATGCAGTTACAAAAAAGGAAGATTGTAATTACTGCCAAAGTTCTGTACTAGAAATGCTGAAGTTTTCTTAAAAAATATGCTTGTCAAGTGCGCTGTGGAAGATACTGGTTTGTGTTTCTTCAAAAGGTTAAAGGGCTGTTAACACTGAAGGCATACTGAACGTGTGGCTGTAAAGTGAGTTCACTGTGATGCTTGTTCTGTATCGTCCAAGCAGTCTGTGAGCAGTCATTGCACTTGAAGCCTTCTCTTGGTGTTTGACAGAATGACATTCCTCATGTTTGCAGTTTGAAAAACAGTCCAATCAAATGATGCAATCTCTTAAATATTTCTTCCTTCTTTCAGGTGCCATTTCATCTGAAGAAATAATTAAATATGCCCACAGGATCAGTGCTAGTAATGCTGTTTGTGCCCCTCTGACGTGGGTACCAGGTAAATATCATGTTTATGACTATGCTTATGACTGCTCTTTTTCTTGAATAAAAAAGCACAGTATCTGGTTCTAAAATGGTTTCACATAATGAAGCATAGTTTGGTTTATTAAAGATATGTAATGTTTATAGCTGTTACATCTAGCATTTCCAAGAAAACTTCATGTGTACCTGCAGAACTCTATGAAACTGCAGACCTCTGTTAACTGATCGGTCTTCTCTCATTAGTTTACTTTTCTTGTTCCTGAATATTGATCCCAATTAAAAGGCAGAAGTGTGATGAAGACTTCTGTGTGTTTGTGTCCCTTCACTGCACATATTGCATAGGATGTATGTACATAGGATTTTAGTAACCTGTGATTTTGGTAACAATGAAAGCCCTACATCTGACTCCATTGATTGTGTTATGATTGTTTTGGGAGCTATCTTTCTTATCCAAAATTAAAATGGAGGATTTGTTTTTTTTTCTCCAGTACTTGTCATAGAATGATTTGGGTTGTAAGGAACCTTAAAAGCCATCCAGTTTTAACCCTCTGCAGGGACAGCTTCCACTAGACAAGGTTGCCCAAAGCCCCATCCAACCCAACCTTCAGCAGTTCCAAGGATGGGGTTTCTACAGCCTCTCTGGGCAACCTATTCCATTGCCTCACCACCTTCATAGTGAAAAATGCCTTGCTTATATCTAATGTAAATCTACTTTTATGTCTGATTCGGTTTATATCTGATCCCAATCTATCACTACATGCCCTTGTAAAAAGGCTCACTCTCTATCTTTTTTATAAGCCCTCCTTAAGTATTGAAAGCTTGTAATTAGGTCTCCCCAGAGCCTCTCTTGAGTCTAAACAACCTCCCCTATCTCAGCCCCTCTTCATAGGAGAGATGCTCCAGCCCCCTGACAATCCCTGTGGCTCTCCTTTACACCAGCTCCAACAGCACCTTGGCTATTTTTCTTAATTCTGAGGGCCCTAGAGCTGAACACAGTACTTAAGCTGGAGTCTCATAAGAGTAGAGAATAGAGGGAGAACCATCTCCTTCAGTCTTCTGGCCACGCTGCTTATGATGCAGCTCAGTATATGATTGGCTTTCTGGGCTGCAACCATGTGCTGGCAGCTCATGTCCAATTTTTTATCTGTGTATATTCCCAAGTCCTTCTCCACTGGATTACTTTCAGCCCATTCATCCCCCGTCCTTATTATTTAGCTGTCAAGTAGCAGAGGGAGCAAAGATGTTCTGAACGTCATACATTATTATAATGTAATTTTTATGATAAGTAGGAATGAGCAAAGAAAGTCTCCGGTTCTAATAGAGTAGGGGTAATGCTCATTTTGATCCAGACAGGAAACCAGACACAGAAGAAAAAAAAAAGATAATATTTCTTAATTATTATCATTATTATTATTAATAGGGGACCCACGCAGGCCATATCCTACAGATCTAGAAATGAGGAGTGGTCTCCTGGGTCAGATGAACAACCCATCCACTAATGGGGTTAATGGACACTTACCTGGGGATGCACTTGCAGCAGGCAGATTGCCAGGTAAGAGAAGTTCAACTTTTTTCTTTTTTTTTAACTATTCTTATTCTTTGTATAGTCAGAGTAATCACAAATGTTTCTCAGCAATGGGAAATGAGAATTAAAAGAATGAAAATTATGGCCAATGTTGTTCCCAGCAGTGAAGGACCAGTCAATAAAGTTATTTTCTGTTAACTATTTTTTATTTGTTTGTTTCATGCTAAATGATACTGCAAACACTAGAACAAAGTAAATATGAAGAAAACTCACTTAGCTACCCAACAATTAATTTATTTTAAAATGCTGTAAGCTGATTGATATTAAATCATATGAAAAAGTGTTTCCAAAGCAAACTCTTCTTGGGAGCGATGACAATGGAATTGTGAATGCTGTATTCAGAAGAAAAGAGATTTACTGTCTTCTCCTACTCTCCTTTAAGTTCTGGACTGAAAAGATATTTGCAAGGACTGATGGAAAGGTGGTGCCTCTAGTGTAGGTCTTCTTAAAGCAAGTGTAGAACTGGTATAAAGGCTGCATTGTGTCCTCACATCTGGTGGTGAGTTGGATTCATGCAACTAGCTAATGCAGTAATGTGCTCATCTGGTATTAGGGGATTGTGGCTGTAGTTCCATAAAGTCTCAGTCTACCCTCGTCCAATTTAAAGCCATTTCCCCTCATCCTGTTGCTCCATGCCCTTATAAGAAGTCCCTCCCCAGCTTTCCTAGTCTCCCCTCAGGTACTGGAAGGCTGCTATGAGATCCCCTCAGAGCCTTCTCTTCTCCAGGCTGAGCAGCCCCAGTTCTCTCAGCCTGTCCTCGTAGAGGAGGTGCTCCAGCTCTCTCATCATCTTCATGGCCCTCCTCTGGACCTGCTCCAACAACTCCCTTTCTCTTGTGTTTGGGGCTCCAGAATGGACGCAGTATTCCAGCTGGGCTCTCATGAGAGCAGAGTAGAGGGGCAGTCTGTTGGTCACGCTTTTCTTGGTGCAACTCAGGGTATTGTTGGTCTTTTTGGCTGCAAGTGTGCATTTCCAGCTCATGTTGAATCTTGCATCAATCACCACCCCCAAATCCTTTTCCTCAGGGCTGATCTCAAGCCATTCTCTGCCCAGCCTCTATCTGTAGGAGTAGAGATCAGTAGGAAAGGAGCAGAAATGACATTAAGGATGCATGCTGCAGCTTTGAAGTGGGAGGTGTTTTGAGGGCAAAGAGGAAAGAGACCTAGGAAGTGTTGTGGAGGGAGGAGTTCCCTTGTAGGTTCATGAGAAATACGCACTGGGAGGGCTTTGGAAGTAAGAGATGAGGAGAAATAGATTTGAGAGAAGTTGGAGGCTGCTGGGGTTGGTCTGCTGGGGCACTGTGAGGCATTCCCATCTCCCACATACATCTGCTCACGGGCCTTGTTTTGTAGTAGGACTGTCTTCTCCTTTGCATTTGGTATATCATATTTGCTCTTTGGAAAAGGATAACCAAGGTGTTTCTGCCTAGTTCAGACTAAACTTAAATCTGAATTCCTGTGTTTACCTTACTCTTTTTTGATGTAATGTTTTCATCTCTTTTTGCATAGTGACTGAGAGTGACCATTTTCGTAACTGCTGGTGGTTTTGACTGTTAAGTCAGTTCACATAGAGCTTTTCATCTTCAAAACACAGTTTGAACGTACACTGTTCTGAAATTAATTTTTCTTTTGATGAGGGATTAAGCCACCTACATAAACAGGCCTCTGGCAGAATAGGCTTTTACAGTGATAGAACGACTCCATCACAAGATGTTTTTAGCTGTCCAAAAGCCAGTAATGTCTTTAAGATTTGCTTTAATTTTACACTGTTGTTTGAACTCCCTTATTCAGTTTGTGGACGTACAAAACTGATAGCTTGATTATGCCCCTTGTTTCCAGATGTGCTTGCTCCTCAGTATCCTTGGCAATCAAGTGATATGTCAATGAACATGCTACCTCCTAATCATAGTAATGACTTCATGTTGGAGCCTCCGGGACACAATAAAGAGAATGAAGATGATGTGGAAGTGATGTCAACAGACTCCTCAAGCAGCAGCAGTGACTCAGACTAGGTACAGGAGGGATGGTATCCCTAGTAGACCTTTCCTGTGGTGAAGGTAGGTTGGATGCTGTTAATCACAGTCCCTTTTATTATGCTGGCAGCCCTTTGCAGGGAGAAGGTACAGCCAGCTCAAAAATAAGAGTGGCTAATTTCAAACCATGAACTTACAATTGATATATATATTTTTTTCCCATTAGATGTTCAACTGAAATGACTGGGAGCTTTCTGCTGGATGAGAGATGTCAGATTTCCAGTGCTGATGTAAATGTGTGAATGTGTATGTTTGCAAGAGATGCGTGCATTTGTATACATATATATAATATATATATATATATACACTATACATATTAGATGACAACGTTCCTGGGACAAAAGGTGTAAGGGGAATCCCCTTGTATGTATGCTAGTAACTTGACTCTTTTGAAGACAGTCTTTTCTATGGCACAGAAATAAGGCATAAGATTTGTAATTTTAATACCTTTTTTGTTACTGCTGAAATGCATGTTGTTAATCACCTAGTGTGTTCTGAGAACAAAACCATGGCAATAAGGTGTTTAAAAAAAAGTTTGTAATTATTGTAATATATAATAAACTCACCTTTGCAACTTTGCTACACTTTGCAAACGTAAGTCTTAGGTTTGTTGTGTGAGTTCATTAGTCAGCGCATTTCATCTGTGGGTGTTTGATTTCTGATTAAGTTTCAGAAGTTTGTGCTCCTTTTATTGGGATGTTTAATCACAGAACAGCCAGGGTTGGAAGGGACCTCAAGGATCATGAGGCTCCAACCCCCTGCCACAGCCAGGGCCACCAACCTCCACATTTAATATCAGACCAGGCTGCCCAGGGCCCCATCCAACCTGGCCTCGAACACCTCCATGGATGGGGCATCCACAGCCTCTCTGCACAGCCTGTTCCAGCACCTCACCACTCTCTCTGTAAAGAACTTCCCCCTGACATCCAACCTAAGTCTTCCCTCCCTCAACTTAAAACCATTTCCCCTTGTCCTGCTGCTATTTACCATTGTAAAGAGTTGACTCCCCTCCTGTTTATATGCTCCCTTTAGGTACTGAAAGGCTACAATGAGGCCACCCTGCAGCCTTCTTTTCTCCAGGCTTTTTCCCTTTGCAGTGTCAGTATTGGAAGCAGCTGAGCAGCCAGCAGCTGCAAGTCTGTTCTTTTCAGCTGAGCCTATCAGGTGCACACAACTGCAGACCCTGAAGCAGTGATGTAGAATGCCCACTTGCCAGACACCACAGATATTTTGGTCAGGTATCCCAGGGCCATGGATGCTTTGGAGCATACTGCAGATTCAGCTCTTTTCAGTTCAAAAGGAGCTCACTTATTATTTAGTCTTTGTCATCTATAATTTTTTTCAGTTCTTTGAACCTGTTCATTTGTTTGCTCCAGCAATTGCATTGTTAGCTCCGCTGTAAGTGTTCTTTCATCTTTCCAAAGTTATTTCTCTTGGCTTTCTTTGCTCTGTTTTGCTTAGGGAGTCATATGATGACAGCAACTCTTTTATTTTTGCAATTTGATCAGGTTACTCATGCAAACTGTTACTTATACCAGTTACAGGTTTCTGCCCTGCCTTACTGTTAAGGCTACCTGAAACAGAGATCAAAGTTCTCTCAACTTTTGCAAATTCTGTGCAGGAAATAGCTGTTAAATCAAGAATCGTTCCTCATTGTTCAGGCAGGCCTTCAGCAGTGACAGTAATGATACCATATGACCTATATATATATCAGTCCCATAGGGATACAGGAATGAAAATCACCTTTTCAGTTAGGTTCAAGCACTTTAAGGGAATATGGGCAATTTGCTTTTGTCTCAGGTATCACTTTTGGAAGTATTTTCACTTCCTAAGATTTTTTAACCTCTGTTTCACAGTTAGAAGTAATTCTTATTCATAGGTATTTTAATCTTTATGCTAGGATCAGCTTTTTCTCTTTGGTGCCTACTCTCCAGCTGTCTTTTAAGATAAGTGCTTGCCCTTTAAGAGAGGCCAGGTGCATCTGACACCATCTCTGGATGCATTCATGGCCGGGCTGGATGTGGCTCTGGGCAGCCTGGTCTGGTGCTTGGCGTCCCTGCACGTAGCAGGGATGTTGAAACCAGATGATCAGTGTGGTCCTTTTCAACCCAGGCCATTCTATGGTTTTATGATTTGGATCAACATAAATTAGCCATCCTAACAAATAATGTACCCCAAAGTCTTATAAGGCAGTAACATATGATTCATTCATTTAAATAACTGAGAAGGTGGGTGGTTGTTTCCAGATATAAATAAAAAAGGAACAGAAGGCAGAGTTTTGTGAAATAACCACTTACTTTCCTGGGTTGTTTAGTGGCCTGTTAAGGGATTAAAAGTTACCCCTGAGTTACCTGTTTCATGTATTTAAGGAATCGGCTCTTCTCACAGTTCACTTTGCTGCTCTAGTGCATAAAATCAGACTTGGCACATAAGAGGCATCCTAGATAAAGTTTCATTGCGTAAATTCTTCGAGCTATCTGTTAGGAAAGTTTTTTTCTGATTTGTATGTCAAGATGCTAGCTACTATAAGCAATTTAACATAAACTTGCAAAGGTTTAACTGTATGTTCTGTTATTCAGTTGCTTAGATGTGTACAGAATGCATTTTCCTACTTAATTTTATATTTAATTTGATCTTTGTATTTCTGCTCAGTTGAAAATAAGCACTAAAAGTGATTGAGCATCAAATATTGGGAGTGCTAGGGGGTGCAGTGTGTAAGAAATAGAAATGCAAGGTGCATGCAGAACAAGTGAATTTAGAGATTGCTGATAGCTGATTGCAGTAATGCACTGTCATTTAATCAATCCACTTAGGAAGAGAATGGTAACCCTGACATATGGTGATGCTGTGTCCTCATTTCAGTAGTTACTAGTCTACTTGCAACAGATGGAGTGAATATAACCATTAAGTGTAACTGCAATTATTGCACTACAAACTATTGTATGCTGACTTGGGTTTTCCCATCAATGCTTAGATGCCTTCCGATATTTAAAAGACCACTAAGTTGTTTGAATTACTAAATATTTTTAATTATTCATTGAGGCAGATGGGCTGGACATCTGTCAACTCTTTCTACAACCACTTTGTTGACAGTTGAACAGAGCAATTATTAGTAAATGTGAAGTTGCTTTTGGGAAGAAAATCTCCACTTGTGAATAGAAAAATAGGTTTCATACAAAGGTAGAGCAGTAAAGGAATTTTCATTGGCATCTGCAATTTCAAAACTGCTTTTTAACAAAATCTTTCTTCATAGAAAATCTGTCGTAAGGGAAGCTGCACATAGTTACTGCTCCAAATTCTGTCTAGGAGACATCTTTGTGCCTTTTATCATCTTCCTGCTTCACATCAAAAAGAAACACCTCCATTAAAGAATGTTTCTATGCAAAGTAGGGAAGAGCTTTAAGCTATTCAATCTCATGTAGGAATTGCCAAGTCAGTGCATAATTTCACACAATTTTAATCTTTCGCTATTGTGCTGCTTTTATTTAAAGAAAATAAACACATCTCAGATAATTTTCTACAATGGGTATAGTTACAAAACAAACAGATGTATTACAAAATAACCCTGTAGAGAAAAAAAAATATAAGGCAGTTATGTAATTTTTTGAAGTCACAATCTATCCCTATCCAAAAATTAATGGTTAAAATCCAGCCTGGTTTACGGTTAATATCTACAGCCTGAAAAGAGCCAACTTTGGTTACAGTTGCTATAAAAATGACAAATCCATCATTTTTGTACATATGTTCTGTGATCTCATTTGCTACTAATTCAATTATTGGGTCACCCCATGCAGAAAATTAAGATGTTAATCAAGTCGTAGTAGCTGTAAAGGATGACACCTATCTGTGCTGTTTAATACTGACAGCACTCCTAAGCCGGAAAGTGCAGCTGCCTGAATAGAGCTACACATCTATAAATGAGTTTGTTTCTTCACTGTGTTCTGTCAGCCCAGCAGAAGACTGTAGGTGCTTTGACATTAACCTCTTAGGGTTCAATAACATGGTCAGAAATGATTATCAACTGAGGTCTGAAATTCTTCTGTAAACAAGTTCTACTGCCAACAGAAGGTAGGTGAAAGGGGGTGGAAAAAAGGGTCAGAGAATTTTCATTCTCTGCAGCATTCTTTTAATGTTTATAATACTGGTTTCCAAGTTTAGTGTAGGAGAACATGACATTCTGTGGAAAACTGGACTTTTGTTTCATAGAGCTGCTGAAAGCATCTTAACTGGACCTATGAAACAAGGTTAAGTTTAAAGATTGGTCCAAAATCATAGAACGGCTTGGGTTGGAAGGGAGCTCAGAGATCATCAAGATCCAACCCCCCTGTTGGAGGCAGGGCTGCTGATCTCCACATTTAACACGAGACCAGGTTAGATGTATACTTGAAGAAAGCAGCATGATATACAAAACAGCTTTATGAATAAACCAGGACCGCTGCTTAAACAAATCGTTTTCCTTTGGGCATGCTGTTACAGCTGTTTCCAAGTGAGTTTCTCATTTACTTCCACAGGGCATCTCATCTGTATAAAGATTCCCCAGATAAAACAGTATGCCTAAAGGAAAACATTAATCATTAACAGCTACAGAAGATGTTTGCAGTTGCTTGGAAGGCAGCCCTGTGTACCTCCTGGATGCACGACAACTCGGGTGAAAGCACTGCAGCACGTGACATCTTGGTAACTGCAGTTCAGACATGGGCAAAGCCAGCACCACACGTCATTTTGATTTCTGCACCACAGGTCCTTCGGGCTGTCACACCACCAGGCTTCATGCCAGCTGATGGCTCCCTGTGTACCCCTTCAGGTGATCCAGGTCTTCCGTAAAAGGGTTGTAGCCTTGTTCCCTCAGGCACCGCAGGCCCCAGAAGAGCTGCTCTGCTGGGGGAAACTCATCCCATTTAACCCACTCCCAACCTGAAAAAATAAAAAATAAACATTGTGACCGTAACACCTCTCCAAATCTGTACGGATGCTTCTCGCACAGAAGCTGCCAACGCCGTACTCGCGCTCAACGTTAAGCCGGCGGCTGCTCAACGTGCAGCGCTGCAGCCCCGCCCCTCCCGCCCTCACCCTCGTTCTTGTCGGGCTCGCAGTTGCGCGGCTCCTCCCCCGGCTCGGCCTCGCCCTTCATGAGGACGGTGACGTAATGGTAGCGCGCGGCGGCGCACACGGCGTTGACGGCCGAAGCGAAGCGCACGTTGCGCAGGCGCAGCGCCGCCTCCTCCAGCGTCTCCCTGGCGGCGCACTCCGCCAGGCTCTCCCTGCGGGCGGACCGGGCGCGTCAGGAGGGCTGCGGTCCCGCGGCAGGCGGCCGGCTGTCCGCGCCGCCCGGGGGGCCGGGGCTCCTACCCGAACTCCAGGTGGCCTCCGGGGAGCTGGTACGTGCCGGCTCCCATTGAGCCTTTCCTCTTGCCCAGCAGGACGCAGTTGGGGTGAGCGGGGCTGGTGACCACCACCCCCACGCCGATCCCGGGGCGCTGGGGCCGCGTCGCTTCGCCCATGGCAGCCGCGAGCTGTGCGCTACGGTGCCTCCGCTCCCGGGACGGCTGTGGGAGTGCGGCGGCTGCGCATCCGCGTAGCGACGTCTCGTGGAGAGGC